ATAGATAGATAGATAGATAGATAGATAGATAGATATAAAAAGCACACAAAGATACACATACTAGGGCTGTACAAAGTGGCAAGCATTCACTTCAGATTCAATCGATTCGGAGGGACAGTGATTCGATTCAATGATTCAAATCACTGTCCTGATTCAATTCACCCAATTTGGATCAGATGTTTTGGCACTGATTTGGAGATTCAGCCATAGAATCAACAGGCAGGAATCCTCATCTCACTGGACACAGCTGCCTTCAGCTGGTAAGTCTGTTGTGGTGGGCACAGGGGGAAGGGAAGGGACAAGGGAGGGGGCAGATCAATGCCCGCACAATGAGGGAGGGATTGGGGCTGAGGCTACAAGCTGCCCATCTGGGATGGGGGAACAGGGGACTTGAGGAGAGGTTCTCCTGCCACTGTGGGCCACTGATCCAAGAGGGCATGGCAGCGGGCATGTGCCCCCAGACCTGTGCAGGGTGGGCTGGGCAGGGTGGTGCTCCGGGAGGCTAGCCCCAGCTGCCTGCTGCTGGGCTCCACTCTGCAGCAGTTGGGGCCGGGGCTGTGCTCTGAGCTGCTAGTCCCAGCCGTAGCCTGGGGAACAGCCCTGGCTCTGCTTGCCCCACAGAGCACAGTGGAGCAGGGGCTATTTGGGGGCTGCAGCCAGCCTAAAATTCTCCATAGCCTCTGCCGCCAGTCCCTCCCCAGTCAGGGTGCATACACCCATTGCCATGCCCTGCTGTTGCTCGCCCAGCTGGAGGAAAGCTATGGCTTGTCCGGGAGGCACGGGGAAGCTGGGTGAATGATAGGAGGGCATAGTCCCTGCTCCCAGCACCTTCTGCCACCCATCCAGAATGCAGCCTGGCCCAGTCCACCCCACACAGATCCAGGAGCACATGCCACTCTGATGCCACCGTGGACTGGTGGTGCACAGTGATGGGAGCCCTCCTCCCCGAGTCCCATGCCCCCCTTGTGTCCCAGCTGAACAGCTTGTCCCAGCCCCAATCCCTCCCTCACTGTGGGGCCACTGATCTGCCCCCCCACGCCCTTTCCCTCCCCGCTCCACCCATCGCAACTGACTTACCAGCTGGAGGCAGCTGTGTCCCGAGTGGTGAGGACTCCTGCCTGCTTAGACTCTGGCCAAATCTCTGAATTGGCACCAAATCTTTTCTGAATTTATTTGGAGGTTTCCAATTCAATTTGGACCTTTTAACTGGTCTCCCAATTCGATTTGGATTTGGAGATTCAACCACTGAATTGGGCTGAATCTCCGCCAAATTGAATCGGCTGTTGAAGCTTTGTATAGTCCTAATACTATACATAGACACAGGAAATAGCAATAAAGTTAATTTGAACAAAAAAGTTCTCTCTCAAAAATGTCTAGCAGCTAGTACCTGATAGTGCAGATTGGATATTTTGGTGGAAACTTTTAAACATATGTCTACTAAATATTTGCCCAACTTTACAGGAAAATGGGCATGGGAGGTAATTTCCATCCTACATTTCTTTATTAAAAATGCTGACATCAACATTTCTTTAAAATATAGTCAAGTTAAGAGGACAACATTAGTGAGCACCATTCAAAGTACTTACACTACAAATATATTTTATGCAACCGCAAAGAGAAATCAGAGTATGCTGATACCAGAACGGAAGCATATTCTTGTACAGCAATTGATCAAAGGCATAATTACCCAGTACAAGCAGCTAATCTGAGTCAGACAATTATGTAATGATTATCCTAGAAGCCCTAGAATATATCATAATGAAGAGCTAGGTATTATTAATCATTGAGGGGCACAATAAAAGAGCCTAAATACACAGTTCAAATGCTTTATAATGAGTTCATCTAGAATTGCATCTAGGAAAATTGTCTGTTTATTTACAAAAACCTTACTGAATTAGGATATGCATTTTCCCTGACTTATGCTGGTGCTTTCTTAGTATGTGAGGCAGAGCTGCTCCAAGTTGATAAACCATTTCTTCCAGAACTAGAAAATCTCTACTATGCTTGGAACTCTTCCCCAATTTACTAATCCTAAATGTAAAACTCTTCATTTGTGAAACAGAATGGGAAGGAAAATCTGAAATATGGGTATTTGAGTTCCTAATGGCAATTTCAATGGGATATGAAGAAAAGAGGGTTAACACTTGGAGATAAACATACATCATCTAGCCCAGGCGTGGGTAACATATGGCCCATGGGCTGGATCTGGCCTGTGAGGCTGTTCTATCTGCTCTGCGGGGCCCCTAAATTTTTTTTGAAAATTAAAATTTATCTGTCCTTGGTTCATGTAAAAAATGACAGGAACCAGGGGCAGTAGGGTCCAGGGGAATTCTCGGTGGTCTCCTGCAACAGCGGGGACCACGTGGCTACCCCAGCACAGGAAACTCAGGTAAGGGTGGGGGAAGGCAGGGAAGGAACTGGTTTGGAGCATGGGGAAAAGTGGCCCCTCCCATGGTCAGTGCTCCCTGCTGCAGCTGCTCACAGCCCATGCGAAGCTGTCCTGAGCAGGCACAGGCAGCCCCATGTGGGCTGTGAATGGCTGCAGCACGGGCTGTTGGACATGGGGCAGGGGAGGGGCCACTCCCCCCCCCGCATTCAGCACCAGCATGTAACCCAGCCCCACACCGGCTCCAGGCTTGTCTGTCAGGGCTGCACTGTGGCAGCAGCAGCTGCAGCCCCCCCCACTTGCCACGCTGTGCAGCATTTGCTGCTGCTGCCCTCCCAGTCCTCACACCCTAGTAGGCTGCAGTGAGGCTGCCACCGCTGCCTCTGTGCTGCCTAGCACATGAGCTCCAGGCAGGCAGCAGCAGCAAACACAGCCCGGCATGGTGCAGCCCTGACAGGTGAGCCTGGAGCCTGCACAGGTCCTAGGCTGGCAGCAGGGTCAGGTACAACCTGGTGCTGAACATGGGGGGTGGTGGGAAAGCAGCCCCTCCCTCACCCCATGCCTGATGCCCATGCGGGCTGCAAGTGGCTGCAGCAGAGAGTGCCGCCTGTACCGCAGGGCTGGAGGGGCATTGGGAGTGAGTGGGTGTGGGAAGACAGGGCCTGCACCAGTGTCCCAGAGCCAGTGCCAGAAGGGCCCAAAGCAGGGTGGCAGGGGTACAAGGTCCCAGCCATCAGGGTTCTATGGAGCTGGGCCAGCTCCCTGCTCTCCCTGCTGGTGCAGCCCAGCCTGGCACCACAAAACCCTGCCAGCCTGCACCCTGCTCTGGGCCCCACCAGTGTTGGCCCTGGGACATTAGTTCCAAGACATTGGGGAATTGGTCCCAAGATGGTGACCGGGGGTGGGCACCTGTCAAGGGGCAGGGCTACCCATGTGGCCCTCAATAGCTTACCAAAACTGGGTAAGCAGCCCTCCACCTGAAATAATTGCCTGCCCCAATCTAGCCTGTTAAGACTTTATTGCTAGTGATGAGGCATGAGAAGGAAGAAACTCATGCTCAACTCTCAGAGCCCAGGGGACCTTGTAGGACAGTAGGTAAGAAAAAAAATCTATAATTTTTGTAAACAGTACATGTTCAATATCAAATAAAATGCATTCTCAGAATTTTAGACCCACACTTCAGAGTAGAACCAGCTTTAATGGTTCCCACTATTTTATGGGGTTAATGGTCTGCTGCTTTCCTTAATTGCCTAGGTATTTTTCCATGCTGTGTACTTTATTTTAGTTGTTCTGTTTACTTTTTTTTAAGTCTGAATATTATTGCTTTTTGCTAAAATATAGGTCCTTCCAA